TGCATGGTCGGCGAGAGTCCTAACCACTGTGCCACCGACGCACAATTAATTAATTGTTAATTAATTCAGTGAAATATTTTGAAGCAGTCTATGATAACGTCTAGTAATTAATAGTCTCGAAAAATAAATTCACCTAATTAGTATACGGCTACTTGATTGCTTTCATGGTGCACTTTACTTTGAATCAGAATCTTCCTCACGAGTAGTCGAAGCCAAGACTGTTAGACTTGGATATGAATGTTTTAGATATATATAAACACTCGCTTATAATTCAGTGGCTATTCATTTTCAGCTCTGATCAATTGATTAACTGTTGCATTTCAGTGTTTTGGTTTTTCTAGTGATTGTTTGAACGAAAACATTTGGCTCCTAGTACGGACGCCTAGACGTGAAGTAATTCGGTGGATTTTGGTTAGTAGTGGAATTATTTATTTATTTTATTTATTTATTATTCCTTCACGTTCCCAGTGGAACATAGAGCTTCAAGCTAGGAGCTTGAAGATTCTGTAGCAGTGTTTATTTTTACAGAATGAGGTTGTTAGCCTCATAACCAACCTTTCCTCTTTACCAGCTTTATTTCTGGCTTAGACAGGTAAAGGAGTGAGTCGGCGGGGGATCGAATCTCGGACTATATGCGTGGTCGGTGAGCGTCCTAACCACTGTGCCACAGATGCAGTGGTGGAATCCAGGATGAATACTTTGTCCTATTCCAAACTCGCCACCTTCGATTCCCAGCGGGTGATGATGCCTCCACTCAGACTAGAGCCCAATACTCTTCTTTTCAGACACCAAAGAGTTGTCCGCAAGACCTCTTCGGTTGCAACAGCCATGTGTAGTGCAGCGGCCATCAGCTATTATTTTTAAAATCAGTTTCGTCTTTCCTCCCGACTGACTCTTCAGAAAGATTCGGCTTCTGTTCTTCAGCTCAAGCTATGGAGAATGCAATAGGCCGTCCGACGTTTATACCACCATTATCTGGCTTACAAACGCTGCTGGTTGATATGAGTGGCATATAACTACGCATTTCGGTCAATCAGTGGTATGTAGTTTTATGTCAACAGTGCAAACTGATAAAGTGTTTCAAACTTAACGAAAATATCTCTCTTCTTCTTTTCAGCCTACAAAGCATTGTCAAGCTAATAACAATTCATTTAAAGGCCAACTGTAAATTAAATAAATTTCATTCACGTCAGTTAAGAATTCACACTGAACAACTATAAGACGAATTTGAATAAAGCGAGAAAAACATTGATTTGTGCAGAATAACATGGTACCATCATTTATTTCGTTGGCTTCTCGTCAGCTGCTTACAGCCTAAATAAATTTTCAGGTTTAAGTACAGAAACGTTTTAACGTACTTGCAAATTTTACATGTTGACAGAAAGTTTCACAACTAGTAAACAGTGCTCAGAAAATTGCGCTTATATAGTTTTTACACAGGCAGTTCAAGTTAAAAAATAATAAATAAATGTATGTATATAATGGTAAGGGATGTGCGTTGGATGCATAGTGACTAATAAGTTAGGTAACAATGTACTGAGTTGAACTCAAATCATAGAAACAAGAGAGATAAGACGAATTCATGCAATAATACATTTTAAATCTATTCTAAATCATTTTTCTACATTATTAAGGACTTCTTTCAAATTATAATCTGACTAGTAGTCAACGTAGTGGACCATTTACTGGTTTTCAGGTATGTGAAATATGCATACGATATACAACACGAATACATGACCAGTAGATTTTTTCGTCATATTTTGGAGTGAACAGGATTTTAGCTACAAGCGTGTTGTGATTCATGTGATTTAAAATACTTTTGTTAATCATATGTAAAAGGTGGAACCCGAATGGGAAGCAGTGAGTTAGTCGTCAGTGCAAGGGTGACATGGAGGAAATCATGCGAAGAGGCGATGAAAGCATGTGGGCAGATGTATTTTTTATTTATTTTTTATTTTTGATTTACAGCTTGATTCCACACCGTATTTTTGGTACAAGTATGGAATTTTCAGCGTGGATATCGGTAGCCCAAAATTCGCAGGCCGACCATAGATATCGGGTGTGCGTCGGCGTGGGCTCGAACCCCGGACCATGTGCATGGTCGGCGAGAGTCCTAACCACTGTGCCACCGACGCACAGAGTCAGCTGAAAACGTTGGTAGAGAACCAAACGCAATGGAGATGTGCGGTTGAAGCTTAATATTCCTCTAGGAACTAAAGGAGACAATAATAATAACAGATATACTTCAGTGGATCCAACTGACTGAAAATTACAATAAACTAAATAAATGAATGCATATAGATTGCCCTAAGTATTTTAAATTAGTAGAGATGATAAGTCTCACTTTCTAAGCAATAAATTTACGTGATACTGTCAAAATGAAAATATTTACTTACTAATAAAAGAATATTAATCCAAAAGCTGTTTACTAAGCATTAATTATTTTACACTAATCAAGAAGTAGCCTTCGTTTGACGTCAAAAAACAAACAAAACAAATGAAACCAAACTATCTCGTTCTTCTTAGCCTCATCATATCAACATTCAAGTTTACTTTCTTTCTGACTAATTCATGTAAACTACCAACAATAACGGTTATTTAACTGATCAACAGTTCCTGAACGTGTGAAAAAGTGTACAGGTTTTTATAGACAATAAGTTTCTTTTTAATAAATTTAAGGGCAGTATGTGCGTCGGTGGCACAGTGGTTAGGACTCTCGCCGACCATGCACATGGTCCGAGGTTAGATCCCCTGCCGTGCACACCTGATATCTATGGTCGGCCTGCGAAATTTGGGCTACCGATATCTATGGTGAAAATTCCATACTTGTACCAAAAATACAGTGTGGAATCAAGCTGTAATCAAAAACAGATAAAAAATAAGTTGATATGAATAATGTCCAGTTATCGTATATGAATTGAATAGCTTTCAAGTAAAATCTCCTATTTCGACATCGACTGACTAAATTAGCAAAGAGAAAGCAGACTTTCAAAGCTTTTTTCATTCACGTTCCCCAGTGGAACATAGGGCTTCAAGCTAGTGGCTTGAAGTTTCTGTAGCAGTGTTTAATTTTACAGGATGGGGTTGCTAGCCTCATGTTCAACCTTTCCTCTTTGCCAGCATTATCTCTGGCTCAATGAGGTAAAGGAGTGAGACGGCCGGGGATCGAACCCCGGACCATGTGCATCGTCGGCGAGCATCCAAACCGCTGCTATACCACCGACTCACGATTTTCAAATGAACATAGCTTTAATTATAACAAACATAAAACCTACATTAGGCAGACATTTCTACCTACTGACTTCAAACATATAATACCAAAAATGAAGTACCTTGTACTACTCAATTGTGTCATGTCACTTCAATAAGCAAACACGTTGCTGACGCTAACAGTATACACTGGTTATTTACAGCAACTGACAACAACAATTCTACCAGAGTAAGTAACTGAGAAAGACAGATAAATCAAGTGAAGAAGACATATTACTCAAAAGACATAAATCAGTCTGAATCTGATCAATTACTTCGATTTTAAACAAAATAAATCAACATTTTTCGTAAACAAATGGTTTACGTTTAAGAGAAGGATGTACTACAAATGTCAGTTCATAATTTCAATACGTTTTGTTCTTGGTGAGGCCTTGGATTGAACTTTGTATGAAAATAGTCGAAAAGATTATTTAGCTCTGATAACGTTGACACTTTCTATTACTACTTCAAGCCTCTAATGTGACTACTGACAGGAAGCGACTGAAACTGAGGTCAACAATTCAATTGACTAGTTGCTTAATTAGGAAATTTTATGTTACAAATTCCTGTTTATGCTACTACGGGGATATGGCGATTTCATTTGACATTATTTGATCTCATACAACTAATCAGAATAAGCTGTTTCATCACTTACCTATCGTAACATTATGTATTTGGGAAGTAAATGATACTTCTCGCACGAATCAGAGAAGCAGGAGATAATACCACAGAATAAGCGTATTTGTTATTCGGTTGAGGTTTTTCTACCTATTAAATTACATTGTCCCTGTGGCTTAATTTAGTCCATCACATCATTTACTACAGAAAGTTACGGTCATATTCTAAGGTCATCTGTTCGTATAAGCTCTTAATTAGTCTGAAAATAAGATAATACATCTGTTAATGAAAGAGAGAATTCTCAACGTCTTTTCGAACCATATCACTTCATTATTGGTATAATCGGAGGTGATTTGCTTAAAATTTTCGAATATCTAACTTTCCACAAGGTACAATATATCAAATTTACTCAGTTATTTTGTTTTTCAACCACCTACTTATGTCCTTGACAAATTGTTTATTTTCATTTGCATTTTCTAATGAATTTCAATATACTACTTGATCTATTTCGAAGGTACATATATACGCTCGAAGTATGCGCATGAAGCGGACTGAGTGAAATCCCGCAGAAAGATATACCATAGATTACCGTTTAACTTGAAGATCGGCATAAGCAGTAGACAAAACCAAGCTGAAATTTCTTTATTGTATATAAACAGGTTGTTCGGAATAAAGCTATTATTACAAAGATAACAAATCTCTATATTAGTAAACTGGAAATATATATGTATAAAGAATCAAGTTTCTTTGTAGTGAAATTAGGGAATATAAAAAGCAAAAACCAAAACACAACTTTGGGATACACTTTGAATAATCAGGTGTACATATAGATACATGATATATTTTAGTTAAATAAATGTATATACACAAAACTATTTGGCCATCAAACGGCAACTATGAGGTGTATTTCGCTCACTTTAAATCAGGAGGTAAATTATATGACAGAAAAGTGAAGAATCTTGAAAGGAATTTATTACGATAAACAAAATTTACACAACCCTAAATAAATCATAGGAAACCAGTTATTTCTTAGTGAGTCATACAATGTCTCTTTTGTGTTTATTTTTACAAGCAACACTCAACGATACTACAACCATCTTACTGGATCCTAAATCAATAAAAAAGAATAAAGATTACTGATTAAATAAAGATTGTAGATTGACAAGTAGTCCAAGAGCTGTCTCATCATCCCAGGGCTTTGCAACAACTTGTACACCAATAGGCAAACCTTCAGATCGTTTATGCTGTTCAGAAAACATTATATTTGTTGGAGAGATTTTGAAACTACCATTTAGATTATCATCACATGCTCGTAAATCACACTTTTCAACACGTCCTGCATACACAGTACCAGCTGGAAAATCAAGTAAGTTATATAAACATGTGAATGGTAGAACACAGTTTGTTACATACGATGGACTATCATTCCATGGTGCAGGTATCGGAGAGGTTGGACACACTAATACATCAAGTTCTGCTTCATTCCATTGAGAGAATACCTGTTGCTTGTAATCGTTAATTTCTGTGATCAGTGAATTATATCTTCGATTGCAGCCTAAACCACGTAGGACTGCTGCTGTAGCTGGATAGTCATTTTCAACACTATTTGCACGCCATTCAGAAATTCTGTATCTAAGAAACCTTGGCAATGCATAGAATAAATGCAAAAGACGCTGCTTATAGTCTACTAAAATATCACCATTACCACGAATATATAACAGTTTCAATAATTCCGGTTCCACAAACCTGGTCAGTAAACTTATGGTTAACTGGTATGCCTTGTGTGGTGTTGGTAATTTAAAATCAACCACTTCATGTCCTTTTCTTTCAAGCTCATCACGAAGTTTTAGCATAACACGTTGGACAGATGAAGAAGAATTGACTAGATTATCAAAATCTGTATAAAAGCCTATTTTCAATTTTCTTTCTGATTTTGAAATTGATAGATATTTCTCATTGTTGAAAGACATCGGAGGTAGTGTAAAGTCATGAGAAAATATGTTTTTAGACCAAAGACTTCGTAAAATGTCCACTAAATCTTCAATTTTATGACCTATAGGAGATGGAACTGGTGGCAAACAATCAGGTAATCCAATAGGCAGCTGCAAGTCCTTCAGACTCATTCTACCTGAAGTCGGTTTAAACGCTGCCTTCCCGCAAAATGAAGCAGATAGACGAGCTTCACCAAGTATATCGAAACCAACAGCTATTGGACAGCCGTTGTGAGCTAGTAAAGGTGCTGTACCACTGACACATGCTCTACCAGGATGTGTAGGATGACTTGTTAGTCCAGTTATTGGATTATCTGCTGACAGACTCAAAAGCTTTTGTTTTACATTTGTCAGGATCACTGGAATAGCACCACAATCGCGTAATGCTTTCACAAGAGCGCAGTCATCTTCAGCAGCACGATTTGTACATATTGTATAACCCATTGTGTGATCATAACCATGGATAGGAAATATTTCTTCAAGTGCAATAGGTATTCCGTGGATTAAACTAATTTGTCCATCCTCTGAATCACGCATAGAATCAGCTAATATAGCATAAACATCAGCTTCATATACAATTTCAGTAATACAATTTAATTTTGAGCGAACTAGCTCCAATGCACGAACTTGATATGCATCTAATAAATCGATTGATTGAAGACTTTTATTATCTAACTTCTCACGTAATTGACTTATTGTTAGTGCAGTCATTTCACTATTATTGTTATTTTTGTTATTGTTAAGATCTTGTATTTCAGCATGACTGTCTGGATTATTATGAAGACCTTGAAATTTGTTATACAATCGACCATGCTTATCAAGTATGTCATCCTTTTTCTTCTTTAGTCGTTTATAAACTTTATATCTTCTCCAACCGAATAACAGACAACGGAATATTAACCATTTTTTAAATAAATAACTGAAGATGGACCATTTCGGTAAATTTAAAACCAGTTGAATCGAAGTAATCAATGTTTTACTAAACAGGTAGGAAGAAATCAAATCCAACAGATAGATAATTGTTAGTCTGTCGATAAGAAAGCAGACTATTTGTCCCATATGAGGCATAATCTTGAATATTCTTCACTTTGACGTGTTTCAGTCACAGTTGAACACAATGGTTTTCGTTGAAACAAAGATAAGGTGGAAAATAACTGAAATATAAACAAAGAAGAAAAAAAAACAGTCAAATAGAAACAAACTATGTTATGTGTTTTAAAGAAATATTTATGCACACAGACAAGACGTACTCAATAGTAACACAAAGATATAAACTTGAGCTTACTCAACAACAGACAAAAAATATTGATTGTCTGTTGGCCTAAGACTGGTATGTTCTTTAATGAAATTATTGAGTGCAAATCTATCTTTTTACATGGTTCTGTGTAAGCAACAATACGCGTGAGAAAGTTAGCAAAAACAGTGCTCGATGACGATCTCAAATGCTTATTGATGATTGCAGTATATCGACCAGATTTAAATTGCGTAAATTTACGAATGTGACACGATAATCAAATATGGCGAATTTAGGTTAGTAGCGCACTCAGAACTTAATATATGTGTAAAACTTGGGCACTGTGGTATTAAGTAATTCCATATTAGTTTGATTATTAAATGTATCACACAGTGAAACAGTATTGTATACTGGATGACGTTTCGAACACAATTTATTGTTCATAATCATATCAATTTTTCTTTTAAAATTGATATGATTATGAACAATAAATTGTGTTCGAAACGTCATCCAGTATACAATACTGTTTCACTGTGTGATACATTTAATAATCAAACTAATATGGAAGCACTCAGAACTTAATTTCTCAGTTATTTAGAACTTATAGGGAGAGAAACCTTTCCATGAATCAGCTCATGATGAAATCCTTCAACCAATATTTCAATTTACATAAATCCTAATTAACATAGACGAGTAATAATGAAATTTTTGCAGTTTAATTGGTTGAAGGATTTCATCATGAGCTGACATCATCTAGAGAACCATTGGGAAATCTGGGAGTACTGGAAAGCAGTTTTGCCCTAGTTTGGGACTCTTCACTGTACGCACCCACCATGGCTCGAACTCATGACTGTCTGGTTACAAGGCTAGGGAGCTTGTAGACCATTAAACCACTGGGACCCAATCCATTGGCCAGCCCATGAATTCTAAATTCTGACAATTGACGACATAGCGCGACTACTTCAAAATGTCTTCTTCATTGAGTTACTGCCTCACCTTCAACCTACTGTACCCTACTGGTTGCGGCTTCCCACTAAAATCCCAGGTAACTGCCTGAATAGGGCCAGTCGCTAGTGAGCATTCGATTTTGCAGTTTAATTCCTTAAAATCAGAATGGAACGATTTCATGTTAAATGGCTGATTGAAAAGTAATCTGAGGAAAACGAATACTCTTTTATGACTTAAAATGATAGCAAATTAACATCATTTGACTGCATCTGCATGGCATGTCCTCAAGCTATTCAATCACTTACATTATCGAGTTAATCATAGTTAGGATATTGTCAGCACAATTTCTCAACAATAAACAAGGATAACTGGTGAAATCACTCTAAGTTTTATGCATCGCACAAGTACATACTTCAAAAAGGCACATTGTTAATGTTACTATTCTTCATTATCACAGTCGTAAGTCAATCAGTTCATTTTCATCAAAATAGCCACATTATTCGACTTGTAAGCACATACAGCCACAAGATTCAAACTAAACATGATACTCCAGCATTTAACATTGGGAAAACAATATAATTTCACTATCAGCAATCTTTTGTGCGTCAGTGGCACAATTGTTATAACGCTCGCTGACCATGTACATTGTCCGAGGTTGCATCCCTGGCCAGCGACGCACACTTTACTTCGCTAAGCTAGTAACAAAGCTTTTGAAGAGGGAAGATTGGATATGACACTAGCAACCCCATCCTGTAAAAATAATCACCACTGATACAGAAACTTCAAGCCTCCAACTTGAAACCCTATGTTCCAAAGGGAACGTGAAGGAGTGAAAAAAATTAGCAATCTTTTAGTAGGAACTGATGGGTTCTGCTAAGTGTGTGCAAAGAATACACATCGGTTCAATAGTAGAAATCTACACATCTCGTGATTTATGTGTACATTTTGTCTGAAGCAACAAAACACGAGATATTTTCAGCTCACTCAGTGTGTTAGCTTAACTTATTTGGTGATTTGAATATTTCCAAAACCAATCAAATATATATATATATATAATTTCTGCAATGGTGACTCCATTTTTATGTATTAATATATCCTGTGATGAAGATTATTCACTTCTTAGTCGCTTTAATGAATTATTACACGCCTCTTATGATCATATATTTATTGAGATTGATATTTATTTGTTGTCATAATGTCCATGTTTTGCTATAAACGTGATTTCCCACAAACTGGTAGATATGCAAGTGAAAAACAACAAGTTGGCAGAAGAAGCATCCATAGAAGATAGGCCATCATGTGAACAAAGAGAAAACGGATGAGATGAAGATTCCTGTCCAACAACAACAGCAGCAACAGCAACAGAAAACGGTCAGCATAAATAGGAGAAATCTGAAAGAAGCAACCTGGGAAGCGTCATTTCAACTACTGGTGGACGGAACTGAAGAGGGTATCAAAGCGAGGATACTATTGATATTGATACTGGTATCAGTAATCATCTTTGTGGAATATCCGGCTGAGAAGCCCTACCGAAATTTTTGGATTCATTCAATTCTGTTTTTCCCACAATTTTTGCTTTATTTAAATTTACCGCCGCAAATAAATATTTTCAAATTATTTTTAAGCCAGATCAGGATCTGCTATCAGTTGGAGAACCGATAAGTTCTACAAATTGGATTAATGCTCACTAGTAACTAAATAAAAGATGAAGTTCCTGGAGTTATAGTGAGACGCCGTGACCAGTAGCATCCGTCACGTCAGGAGGGAGTGAGGACAAATATCAGCCAATGAAATTGCCTGGCGGCTGCATTACATATTTTGAATTTATGAACCATTGGATTCCGTTTCAGCGGCTGAATGGTTAACAAGCTCGTCTCGTAACTTAAAGTTCCTAGACACCATCCATGATAGGTTCATAGATGTGAACTGATGAAGAGCCCCAAAACAGGAAAGAACAGCTATCTAGTAATTTCTTATTTTTAGTGGTTCTTCAACTGATGTCATTTTAAGATCTAACTTCAAATCGACTAAATTCATGCAATATAATGCAGAAAAAAAAAATTAAAATTCAGTTTTCGCTGATGTCAACATCATTTCTACGTAAGAAATGGAAACGAATATTAGTCCATAGAAAGACTCAACAACGAAAGAGGATAAAACCAACATCATCTACAAAATAAATTGCAACGACAGCAAAAAACACTACATTGGCCAAAGTAGACGTCCTCTTCGTCTTCGTATCCATGATCATAAGCTAGCTGTCAAAAGACATGATATCCACTCCCATATATTATTACATACAGACAACCAAGAATATCAATTTGACTGGGACAATTTTCAAATATTAGACAGAGGAAACAACAAGAATGCTAGAGGATTTTTCGAAACTTGGTATTCCACTGAATCGTCAGTCAATAGACACATTGACAAAGACAAAATTTACCAGTCGATAGGAAGGGAATCTCATACACAAAGGGTCACACTTCATGTGAAGGGAACAATCAATATCCATACCAATACAAGTAGCCTTGGGTGGTGTGAAAACACACTGTAACAACCAATCACATCCATGATCACCCGTAGAGATGACTAATAAACTCGTGGAGAAATCTTAACAGCTCATGCGCTGAAGATGTTGCCTAGTAGGGTGATGAAAGTTTCGCAAAATAACTATCCATCTCGGAGAACACAACCACATAAAAAAGAAGGTATCCCTATACCGAGAAATTATGTACACCTTATCTTCAACGCACCATTAGCACAGATCTTCAGTATTTGGCTACTTCTACCCTTCATATTGTGCTTCTCTGTCTTCTTTTTGTGTCTCCCATGATTTGACGCAACGCTAAATCATTCGCTCTCTTTGACATCGAATCTACCTCTCTGCTACTTAATATTTTTGGGTGCCAGTGAGCGTTCTTTATATACTACTTATAAATCGTATCACTAGCATACACCACAGTACTAGTCTAAAACGCTTATATTATACACACAATTACTTTTTGTTTAGGCAAACATGTTTTCCACTGGAATATTTACAAACAGAAATTCACCAATTATATTTTCTATATGTTGTTTACGTCTACAGATCATTTTCAGACATCACATGATGGAGTTATTTTAACTGTCTTTTGGTTATCAATGTATTATGCATAGTTGTTTTTCTTTTATAGAAAAGTACTATTGATGGTTATGTTGTCACCTGATTCTACTCTTGTATTTGTTTACAGTTGCACTAATACAAAATACCTTCTAAACATGTTCCAACGTTTACGTACGAAAAAAAAATAGTGGAGGTCTTAGTAATTTACATGCGTTTCTTAAATATATCAATCAGGATGACTGTACCCTTGAAATGAAAAATTACGTAATGATATCCCATTATTATATAACCCTCAGACTCCTTTGTCCCCTACATTGAAAAGTGACAGTTTCATCACTTTGACTTACAGCCAGGAAAGATATGTGTCTTGGAGTATTTGATGTAAAATGTTATCAAGAAATTTTTAAGTTCCAAGTACTAAACAATATGTTCACATTTGTTGACTAATACTTACATAGACTGTAAACTTGACTGATAGAATTCAGTCTGAACTAGACGCATGACACTAGCTACTGACTAACTTGTGTTCGGCCATACTATCTAATGCAGTCCTACGGAAGGCCAATCATGACGTCTGGGAGTCACGGGCTTCAATCTCAGAGGGTTAAATGAGTTGCTTCAGGGTTGCAGGTATGTCTTGCTGATGAATCAGCACAAAACCTAAGTCCAAGGCTTCCTGTCGATTGTTAATTTATGTGTAAAACTTGGGCAATGTGGTAGTAAGTAATTCCATAATAGTTTGTTTATTAGATGTATCACACGTTTCGAACACAATTTATCGTT